GCCAGCGGTTACATGAGAAAGAAAAGAACCTCCATCTTGGTTAAGCCTCTGTTATTTTGGGTCTTCCTTCCTTCTCTCTCTCACTTTCTCTCTTTCTTCCCCCTATGTCATTGTCATGATAGAACTCTTGTGGTTCCCTTTGTTTCATGTTGGTGTGCTGAACATGCCTTTCTCCTACTTATTTCTAACCTCTTTTATCTCTGCTTTAAACACTCATCTCAAATATTACCCATCCCAAGAGCTTTCTTATTCCCATCCCTGGCCACCTTCTCTGTACTCGCAGAGCAACATTTTCAACATAAATAACCCTCAATAAAAGTCTGAGTTGACTTACCTTCTTCTTAACAGACATATATGATTTTAAACCATTTTACTAGATATCCTCAGAGTCTAGCAAAATGCTTGGTGCAAAGACACAGCCTTCAGCTTCAGCACATACTGATTGAGGTAGACAGGGTCAGTATTATTATTTCCATTTTAAAGATGGAAAAACCAGCTTAGTAATTTATGTAATACCATGTAAGTTAGCATTCATTCAACCTGTGTTTTCCTACTTTGCCAGGATGCACTCAGCTTATAAAATAACTATGATTTCAGTCACTTGGATACATCCTTCTGTTTCAGGATGTTTCTTGTTCACAGATAGACCTAGGCCAGAAAGAAGATACATGGAAGTCTGGTATATTCATTTCCTTCACTACTTAATTTAGTCCCAAACATATACCCCACACTCCTATAGAGTAGCTAAGGTATCTCGTAAGTTAGGGGGAAGCAATCTCAGTCTTTTTAATGTTAAACTGCATTCAAATTTCTTCCATCATGTCCATTTCTCTGCCTCCTAGGTAAGCAATTTTGGCAATTGTTTTAGGAGGTGAGTGGTAAGTGATAACAATTTTTATGCAAGTATAGTGTTTAACTAAACAGATTTTTAACTTATTCTACATGTTAGAGCCCAGCAATTTTACCAGAAAGTTGATTTAAATGTTATACAAATAAGGCCAGGCATGATGGCACACACCTGTAATCCCAGCACTTTGGGAGGCCAAGGCAGGTGGATCACCTGAGGTCAGGAGTTTGACATTAGCCTGGCCAACGTGGTGAAAGCCCATCTCTACTGAATATGAAGAATTAGCCAGGTGTGGTGGCACATGCCTGTAATCCCAGCTACTTGGGAGGCTGAGGCAAGAGAATCACTGGAACCTCTTGATCCTGGGAGGTGGAGGTTGCAGTGAGCCGAGACTGTGCCATTGCTTTCCAGCCTAGGCAACAAGACCAAGGCAAAACGCCATCTCAAAAAAGTAAAAATAAAAATAAAAAATAAGTGTTATACAAAGAGGTTCATTACCAGATCAATGTTAAAATATGATAACAGTAAATTCGAGAAAAATACCTGAAAAGTTGTATGGAAACTAGAAGATAATTATAAGCTCCAACGCCCACAACACTTAGAAAAGAAGTTAGCAGATTTCTCATAAAAAGTCTACTCCCTCCTCTTTTTGTACCTCTGGCTCTGCGAAGAACTTGGTAATGTGGGTATTAAAGCAACAAGGTATCTAATAGTATTCTTCCAGATCTGCTGAGCTACTGTCTGACTCTGCCATTCATCCATCCAGTTATTCATTCCCCTGAAAGTGGATGCAGTATGAACCTTTTCAAGAAAGTCAGACTATTTCACTACGTTGCTCATAGCCTTCCAATGGCTCTCATTTCACCTTAACCTCACTACTGTTCAAACACACCAGCTAAGCTTCCTCTACAGGGTCATTGCATTAGCCATTTCCTCTACTAAGAACACTCTTTCCCAGATATGTCATTTCTCTTTCCCTCAATTCACATAGGTCATTTATCAACAATCATGTCTAATCTAAGACAGCAGCCTCCATCACTCTGTCTCTACCGGCCCTGCTTTATTTTAATTCACAGCAATCATCATTATCTGACATTACATTAAACATCTATCTATCATCTATCTATCCCTTTCTATCTTCTATCTATCTAATCTATTATATCATCTATTTATCTATCTCCGTTGCTTGCTTATTATCTGCCTTCTAAAATGAAATATCATCTCCATGCATAAAGCCTGTATTACAAATAAGCTAATGGGCTTCAGTGAGAAATGTTTGCTCTTGTGTGATCCTGGGGCTCACCTAATGTAACAGAAAAGAATGAGTGAAGTTGAATGGAAAATATAAATTTCAGGTTTCTCTGCAGTTGAACAAATAATTGTTGAGTATTTCCTTATACTAATTTCTAGTATATGCTAGGGACTTCCAAAAAGCAAAATAGTCCCTTCCCCTAAGATGCGCATACTCTGTAGAAGTAAAATGAATGCAGTAGTAGAACAGAATTATAAACATGCAGAAAAAATTATGAAATTTTAGAAATTCAGAAGGCTTGCTGATATGGATGTGACTAATCTTGCCAGTGCAGGCTCACAGGAAACTTCATGGAGAGACAATATCTATGCATTGTTTCCATGGAAGAGGAGGAGTTTGTCAAGTGAACTGGGTAAAGCAAACACAATGTGCAAAGGCAGAGACACCTGGAGAACCACGATGTGTGTCTGTGTGTAGCTGTGTAGGGGTGTGTGTGTGCGCACACACGCACGTACATGCAGGCACTGCAAATACTTCAATGTGTCAAAGAAGGAGTGGGAGAAAACAAAATTGGAGATGAATGCAATGGGCTTATATTTTTTAAAAATCTTGCATTTCTTATATTTGATTCGAAAAGGTAGGAGATATCACTGTAGTGTTTTAAGCAGAAGTCTAACATGATAAGGTTTCATGTTTCAGGAAGCCTTCTTCTGGCCATGATGGAAAAGTTGAGAGCCTGACTTGAGCAGGCCACCTCCTGCTTTCAGTAACTGGCAAGTTAACGGGAACTCAGCAATCATCCTTTCTTAAACTAACCAAAATTCCTCTTGCTTTAACCCAAGCCCATTTTTTCTTGTTGTGTTCTTAGAATAATTGCTGTGGATACATTAAGCTGTACTTCTACCTTCTCCTTCTTTCCCTGACTTGAGAAGCCTTTCCCTCTTGGTAGTCTAAGAAAGTACTTCACAGCCCTATTACCTGCTCCTTAGAATATAGACCTGATGTGAGACGCTGTCATCACTGCTTTAAGACCTGTTGGCCCAATGGGTTTGAGAGATCAAAACAGAAAGAAATGCTTTGGTTCTGGCATGGAGCAGGTTCAGATGTTTGGGTTTTTATGTTAGGAAATTTATTTCAGTCTGATATTCTTTATGTTATTGTTTTCTTTTACTATTTTATAAATCCTTCTTGGGCTACAAACCACTTCCAAAGACTTCAGTACCTAAGCAGCTCAGCAATGAGCCTATGAAGCCAGGCCATTAAGAGCTGGTTTCACATTGAAGTTATATAAAAATATGTTCTTTATGTTAGACCAAGATTACTTCTTAGGATTAGAGAAGAGTGTGTACATATACTATATACAATTGTCCCTCCTTAGGGGATCAGTTACAGGACCCCTGAAAATACCAAAATCCAAGGATGCTCCATTCCTTGTCATAAAATGGTATAGTAATTGCATACAACCTATGCACATCCTGCTGTATACTTGAAATCATCTCTAGATTACTTATAATACTTAATATAGTGAAAATTCTGTGTAAGTCGTTGTCACACTGTATTAAAGAATAATGACAAAAACAAGAAGGCTATACATGTTCAGTATAGACACAACTGTTCATTTTTTAGAAAATATTTTTGATCGTGATTGAATGGTTAAATCTGTAAGTGCAAAACCCTTGCGTATAGAAGGCCAACTATAGTTTTAAATGGACATATAAAAACGCTCTTATTGATAAACATGAAAGATTTGAGTGAAATAACTGTAAAAGAGAGGCATGTAGTATTTTCTTAATTTAAAAAAAGTCTCCACGAAAAGATTGAGAGTAAGTCTGTATTTAGACATCAAATAATTTGTGAAACATTTAAAAATCTCACAAAAAGGTTCTTAATTCTAATTTTCTTTCATCACCTTAAAAATAGCTATATTTATTCTCCACCTTAGCTACTGTTACAGAAATAAGGACAATACACTCAGTGTACAGACTGAAATTAATCATATGTAATGTACAGTCCACTTTGAGAGGAGATGAGAGAACAGCAGCCAGTTGACTATTCTGGCTAATTCAGTAGGTTACCTGAACCACAGAGAGAATGCATGGGTATCTGATGAACTGGAATGGATTTATCATGCTGGACACTATCCTCTTTGAAACATTCTCATAGCTGATCCCTTTAAGGTACCCTTTGTTATACAAACAAAATTGCATTTGCCTTCAAGAACAACAGAGGATGCTTGGTAGAAAATTAATTTTATGTTTAATTAGAAGCTGTTCACATTATCTGGTTCATATCTGGTCCTGTCAGTACACGATGCTACTGCATTCTACATAAATAGAAATTTTTACCTGGGTAATTCCTTTTTAGCAAAGATATATTTTACGTAGTACCTATGGTGCTATGCATGCATACCATATCTCATATCCTTATATTTCATTCAAAAGAGCCCAGAGAGAACTAAAATAATATTTTGACATTTAAACTAAAAAGTACAAAATAAAAGGAATTTCAACCATTAGAACAGTAGATATCAATTTCTGGTTAAACATTAGAATTACCTAGAGAGTTTTTAAAAAATACAAATGCACATGTCATACTAATTTTTTTTTCTTTTAAAGTATTCCAGAAGATTCTAGTGTGCAGCCAGGCTTAAAAACTACAGTACCAGAAAATTCTTTGGAGATATATGAGTTATACAAAGAGAAGTTTGAATAATAGTATTTGAAAAACATTTTCTTCATGGCTTATTTTATTTGAAGGTCTTAAATAACATATATCATACTATAAAATATTACCAAAGAGAGCAACTTAAACTTGAGCTAATTTTAACAGCTAGCAAGAGCTCACTGTAAACAAGACACTCTACTAGTACTGTAAATTTATGTGAAATAGAGAAAAGCTTACCTCAAGCCCAGTAGGATTTGCCAGAAAGTCACTGAGTTAAACTCCAGGGCCTTCATTTGCACAGCCCCCTTCCAAGACCATGAGAGGGACCCGAGGAATGTGTTGATATTTTCATAGCTTTTATAAAATTTGTAAAAATCTAGCTGGGTGCAGTAGCAGGTACCTGTAATCCAGCTTTTCGGGAAGCTGAAGCAGGAGAATCGCTTGAACCTGGGAAGCAGAGGTTACAGTAAGCCAAGATCACGCCATTGCACTCCAGCCTGGGTGACAAGAGTAAAACTCTGCATCAAAAAAAAAAAAAAAAATTTGAGAAAATCAAATAGTTTATCTGCTGTTGTCTCTTTCCCTGCTCACTTTCCCCCCACACACTTCCCTGTACCTGGTGGTATCAAATAATCAGGAATATTTGGGGGCTCCAAAAAAGAAGGCATCAAATTGGAGATACATTTAGTTTTAGTTTATAGAATATATTCATGTGCTTTACTGTCATTTGTGTGCATACCTAAGTGATTGCTAGTTGTCCTGGGCTAGGAATGGCTTGCGGAAATATTACCCACTCCCCTGACTCAGGCTTCTGACATGAAATTTCAGGACTGACTAAAAAGTCATAATAATATTGGTGAAAAACTGGTTAATAAATGTCGTTGATTCAAAGAGACTTTGTGATTAGTTACTCCACATGAAAACCTGCAATGACCTGAGGACTTACATCTCATCTGTGAAAGATACTTGTAGAAGCTTTCCCAAATTCAACAATAATTTCAATAATATATATGACATGACCAATAGCAAAGATGTGGGAGATTTTTCAAAGCTGTTGATAATGAATAAGTCACTGTGCCAGAGGAAAGATGAGATTATCTTTTTCTTTTCCATACAGAAAATAATTTTCCACGATTGTTGTCAGTTGAAGAGTTAGGGCATGCACCACAAAAAGTATAAGTAAAAATACTATAAGTATGTATCAGAAAACTATTTTTTAAAATATTTCTTTTCCTGAATCTTATGTTTACAGACTTTGACAGATTTTTTAAAAGCTTTAATTTGTTGTGATTTATTTTCTCATTCTAAACATTCACTTTCATGTCTACTTTTGTACCTGAAATCTTGCATTCTTTTAAAGACACCCTCAAAACTGTCTAAGCTTCAACTCCCACCTGAATCCACCCCTGCTTCAGGAAACTCACACACATTGGCCCGTAAGGACTTGCTCTACAAAGTAGTCATATGCTTAAAATTCCACCTTCCTCCGATATTCAAATGAAAACAATACAAAGACAGGGACTTACTGATCTGAAAGAATGAGGAGCTACATTATTTAAATAATGTTTATTAAATTGTATATACACAGTGCTGTGAAGTTTCCAAAAAATTATATTAAGTTGCAACATGAATGTCTTGAATCCATAGTAGCATCAACTATATCATCTAGGCAAAACTAATTAGGAAGAGGGAAATCAGCAATTTGCATAGTGCAGGTGTTTCTGCCCTCCATTCTAGTTCATGAGCATCCACCTGAGTGTGATGTGACACACCCAGACCTGGTGCTCTTTGGTTCTTAGTTCCCCACAGGCCCCTTCTAGTGTCAGCATCTTCCTAGGCTAAGTATGAGTCTAGTGTTTAAAGACACATACTTTTTATACAACCTGAAGCCTAAATAGAAACCAATTTTCTCATCTGGCAATGCTGAAGGGAATTTTGTTCATATTGCTACTTTTGCTTTTTGTGCTGACTTTTCAATGTGAGATTGTTCAAGTATATAAAGAAGAACAAGACCGTGAAAACCCATTTATCAAGTATGTAGAGCAAGTGTTCACATATTGCCATATTTGCTTTATCACTCTATCCTCATATCCGTTTTTTATTAAACTATTGCAATGTCACAGACATATCATTTCACCCTTAATGGTACAAAATGTAGCTCCTAAAAAAAAGACTCCAACATAACCGTGACACTGCTGTAATACCTTAAAACGTAACACCAACTCTCTAATATGGTCCACATAATCCCTATTTAAATTTCTTCAATTTTCTTGAGCATAACTTTGAGAGTCAGTTTTTTCAAACCAAGATTTTATTATGTTTTATGTATTACATTTAGTTAACATCTTTTTACTCCATCTAGCTCCATGATACTGACTGTTTCCAGGACCAGGCCTGATGTCTCGTAGAATAGTCCATACTCTGAATTTATCTGATTTCTTTCTTTCTTTCTTTCTTTCTTTCTTTTCCTTTCTTTCTTTTTGTTTGTTTGTATGTTCATTCTTCCTTTAGTTCTTTCCTTTGTTCTTTATTTCATTCTTTCTTCTTTTTCTTTCCTCTCTTTCTCTTCCTTTCTCTTTCTCTTTTTTTTTTTCTTTTTTTGAGAAAGCATCTAGTTCTGTTATCCAGGCTGGAGTGCAGTGGTACAGCCACAGCTCTCTGCAGCCTTGACCTCCTGAGCTCACTCAATCCTCCCACCTCAGCCTCCCAAGTAGCGAGGACTACAGGTATGCACCACCTTACCCAGCTAGTTTTTGTATTTAAAGACAGAAGTTTCATTATATCACCCAGGCTGGTCTTGAACTCCTGGGCTCAAGTAATCCTTCTGCCTTAGCCTCCCAAAGTGCTAGAATTATAGGCATGAGCCATTGCACCCAGCCAATCTGAGTGTTTCTTAACACAAATTTGTTGCAGTGTCCCCTGACTTTCCTGCAACCAAGACATTAAATCTATTATTTGATCATATTAACACTTCATAAGCAATCCCAAATATTGACTTTGGAATATAACTTCATCATAAGTCGCAACTTTATTATATGACCTCAATTAAACCTCAGTAGAGCCCTGAAATTTCTATCCAGGAATTTTTATCTTTATAGGTACAGATACTAAGGCTGGAATGTCTAAATGACTTGCTTAAGGTCACACAAAAATGAAACAATTTAAGATCACAAGAATTGGCATGATCTTGTGATCTTGAGTTGTCTAAGTCTGGGCAAAACAAGCCAGTTATGCCCAATTCAAATGGGTACTTTCCTGAAGCTTTGCATTCTAGTATGAGAGAACATACTGGAAGATACAGAGATAAACTTCTTTTTATTAAAGATAACAGTAATTCAGTTGGTAAATGCAATTGAACCCTGAAATGAATTCATAAGCAATAGATGTATAAGTCAAGGATACCATATTATGACTCTATATAGTCAACTATATCAGTGATACAAAACAAAGAGGGAAATCAGCCATTTGCATAGTGCAGGTGCTTCTGCCCTACATTCTAATGGAAGAGCATCCACCTGAGTGTGCTGTGGCATACCCAGACCTGCTGCTCTTTGGTTTTCAGTTCCCCCAAGGGCCCCTTCTAGTGTCAGCATCTTCCTAGACTAAGTATGAGTCTAGTTTAAAGACCATGTATTTTCTAATACAACATGAAGCCTAGGTAGAAACCAATTTTCTCATCTGGCAACTCTGGAGGGAATTTTGAGACAGTGGTACCTCAAGATATTATCTAGTTCAAGATCAGTTGAACTCAATAGAACCAGAATCCTGAGAGTCATCCGCAACAGCTCCCTCTCCTCTGTTATGCCAACATCCAAGCCTGGTTGGCTCTACCTCTAAAAAAAGATCTGAAGTCATTCCTCTGTTCTGCTTCGTCCCTGCCAGGTCCCTCATCCAAACCTCTATCCTCCGTCACTTGGACAACTGCAAAGTCTCCAGCTGGTCTCCCTATTTTTCCTTCCACTCTTGCACAAAGCCACCAAATAATTTTTTTCTTTTTAGAAAGCAAATCTGTTGAAATCTGCCTATTGACTATCTTTTAAAAAGAAAACAAAATTACAAAAAAAGCAAATCTGATCACATGGTCCCTCTCCATGTACAGCTTAAAATTCTTTGGTGGCCTCCCATTGTACCTCTCATAAAGTTCACAGGGCTGACACAGCTGACAAGGCTCAGCATGATCAGCCCTATGTCTCCTTCTCCCAATTAATTTCATGCTCTTTTCTTTCTCCATCTTTTGCTCAAAGGTTTAGGCTTGTTTGAAAAAAAGCACCATGCTCTGTGTTTCCTTTGAACAACTTTTCAACTTGTTCCCCCTGTCCAGAATTCCTCCCCAGAGCCCTACCACACAGCTTACCCTCCCACCCTCTTCCTAGTTACTCCATAATTCTCTGATCAAATCTCAAGGAAACCTTTTCTGACTTTGCAGACCATTGGAGACCCCTATCGTCATTCCCTGTGCTTTACTTTCTCAAGTCTTACCATCCTTTGTAATTTATAGCTTTGTTATTACACTCACCAGAACAGAAGCTCAGGGAGGATTGAGATTAATTTCAGCAACTAACTTAACCAATAAACAGGGCTTGCAAAGTTGCTGTTGAACGAATGTTGTTCTTGAAAAACCAGTGAAGCTTATATCCCTAAATGCTAACATATGTCCGATAACTAAATAAACAGATTAAAAAAAAAAGGTAAAGGACGCAGAAGCCATAAGTTAGAGACATGAGCCATAGCCTCAATAAGATACAAGCATTACAGAGACCTACCATAAACTTGCAGGACAAATACAATATGAGCAAGATGTCTAGAGCTAAGACAACACCTTAGAAACCTCAAAAACCTTGTCTTTAAAAACCCCTCAATGACCATTTCAGTTTCACCACACTTGATGAGTAAAGAAAAAATGATTAGTGATGAGTCCATTGCCCCACCACCCCTTTTCATCTCAAGTCTCTCCACCTGCACACCAACACTCACAAACTTTTCTCCAATCCCACAGCGTGAGGCATCCTCCTCTTGTCTAAGGGCAACCCTTCCTCTCTCTCTTAATTACTTCCCTTTTTCTTCCATTTTGCCCCAAATTACCCTCCTTTTCTGTCTTCAACCTCTTCCTCTCTCTCAGTTCTCTTCCAAGCAGGCTATGAGCATGTTCAAGCCTCTGCCTTCAGAATAGAAAATCCACCCTTGACCTGCCTCCCTCTCACACTGTGACCCTCTTTATTGCAAGAGCAATGGCACTCACTGCCTCTACCTCCTCGCCTTCCGTTCTCCCCACAGCATTGTGGCTCCTGATCCTGCTGTTTCATTGGAAAGGCTTCCATCAGGTTCACCAATGAGCTCCACATGTAACAAATTTTAAGGGATAGTTTTTATTGTCTTTCCAGGCTATTCTGCTGTACCTGGCAGTGTTAATGACTGTGCTACTTGAAATCCTCTCTTCCTTTGTCATC